TTGTGCGTTCATACCTGAAAAGATAGTACATGATGCTCATCCAAATCATCTCATTTGGAGAGTTCAATCAAGATCTCATAAAAATCGTTGTCGTTCATGTGTATTTCCTTTTCATGGAAATGACTTTTCATTTAGTTGTCGTACTTGTGATTTTGATCTACATCCAGAGTGTGCTTTGTTATTACCTAAAACTATTAGGCACAAGTATGACAAACACCCCTTGAAGTTGAGTTATTTCCCAATTGAGAATCACAAAAGTAAATATTTTTGTGAAATTTGCGAGCAAGAATTCGATCCAGAACGTTGGTTTTATCATTGTGATAAGTGTGCGCAATCTATACATTGTGCTTGTGCTCCAATCATACTTAAGTCTGAAACTGCTCCGATTTCAGACTCTCATCAAAGAATTTATATGTTCGTGAACATAAAGTTTGGTGGCATTCATCGCACTAAAGTTCATGAACACCCTCTCTCATTTGTTCAAGGAATTGAGAGCGATGGTCGTTGTGATCGATGTAAATGGCCATTAAAGTATGAAATGATCTTGAAGTGTTCAAAATGTAAGTTTGCAATTGATTATGATTGTTATAGGAGTTTCAATTAAGAGTTTGTGAATCTGTTGGAATTGTATTTGTAAGTATTTTATACTCTTGTCTCTTTTTTATATATGTGCAAAAGAATATAACAAAAAAAAAGAATTTAATGGTGTAATCATTTTATTTATTCATCCCTAGTAATTGATTGATTGTTATATTTAAGTTCTATTCCAATATGGATACAAAGTAAATGTGAAAATTGACCTTTCCATGAATGATGTAATATATTGATTTGTTTAAAAACAGATAACAACATCTAATGATTTTTAGTCATTAATTATGATGAGATAATTAAATACTACTTTATATATCTTGAAAAACTAAGCAACGACCATCTCAATTAAACATATGGCCCCCAAGCTTACTAAAAAAATGGTTTTAGGACATTGTTTGCAATGAGTTTACGATGATCTAGATTCCCAAATTTAACGGCTTGTGGATGTTGAAAAGAATATCATTTGGATCCGAGTTACAGCCTCATGACGCTTACTGCAAAAAATGGTTACAAAATGTTTATGATGACCTAGATTCCTAAATTTACCAGCTTATAAAATTGTTTGCTAAATTGTTATGAAATTGTTTACAACTTTGTGATCATTTTTKTAGTATACTTTGAAAAGTTGTAATTCTTGATCTGTAATTCGAATCAACACGATAAATGGATTTATTTATTTTATAATTTGTTATCCTTTTCTCTTAGTAAATTTGAAGGGTCATAACTTTTAATTTATAACTTGGATCAAAATGATGTTTTTACATTATTTTAATTTTTAAAATTTGTAAACTGGTAAAATTTAAAAATCTTAATCATTAAAACCAATTCATAAAATAGTCGTAAAATAAATGAGAGTAAAAAGTCAGTATGATTGAAGTTTTTGGAAAGAAAAAAAAAAGATAATGCAAATAATAAATTTAAAAGAAATACAATCCTGAAATATATTCGAGAAAGTGACATAACAGGGCTCATAATTTCATATTATGGTGCTACCAATTAAATACATTTTGCTTAAAGAAGTTGATATATATATATATATATATATATATATTATTTTAAAGAATTTGATAAAAACTCTTAAAAACCATTTTTTATACATTAAGTACTGTTTATTGATGCATATTACTTAAAATTTATGACTACAAGTAATTGTGCAGAAGTACAACTTATTAAAGCTCTATGTTTGAATTCGTTTAACTAACTGCTGATAAACATAATCAAATAGATGATAAAAATCTCATTTTAAAATATAAAAAAACTAAAATATAATTAGGATAATTATTGAGTTCAAACAAAATAATTAATTATCATATTTATAAAAAATTTTATTATGATACCAAATATAAATTACTTCGTTATCTATACTATATTATAAAGCATTTGACAAAAAGTCTTAAAAACTATTTTTCATGCACGAAGTACTGTTTATTGATGCATATTACTTAAAATTCAAGATTACAAGTAATTATATG